CACCGTGTCATGCCATTGAGTGAAAACTCATGCATGAAATGCTAACACCGAGTCCTATCTCGGGCCCCTTCACAACACATGCAATGTCACGAGTATGAACCCTGATATTCCAAGCCCCGCCATTGATATTAGACATCTAATAACTATTTTATAAAAAAATTATGTTTTTAGGGTAGGTATTTTATGGACTTCCACCAATAGTCATCCACCTGACACAAAATTTATGGACTTCACGCATACGGAATTTATGGACTTCACGTACACAGAACACACTTTATGGAATTAATATCAACGGAAATGCATATACAAGTTGGTGAGTCTTGCACTTGAAGGAGAATTTAGCCCTTATTGCTAAACATGAAGGTGTATATGGAGGTTGAATGATGTTAATTTTTTTTTTTTTTATTACAGTGTGTTCAGACTTACGACGACTACTACCTCGAGTTCAACAACTGGTTACCGTGTCTCGAACTGGTTTAGAACATATCCCCAAATGGACAAAGGTGATTAGCTCTTAGGGGGTGTGAGAAATGATTGAACTTGAGATCTATGAGTTATCAAAGAACAAACCTAATTACTAGACCACCCCTAAGGGTTGAATGACGTTAGTTGACGCTTAATCTCCTCCCTTCAATGACGTTTTTAGATTTTAAACTTAATAGTATTACGAGCATAGAATATGTTGAGATTTTACAATAAATTTCATAAAATTAGTCAATTATAATATATGATCTAACATTGTCCTAATTAAATTGAATTTTATCTCAATCTTCGAAGATGTTTTTATCTCAGTCATCCATCATTACAATAACTGGAATTTATTTACTTTTTGAAAAAAAAAAAAAAAACATCCAAAGGATACGACATATTCAAAGTGGTGAAAATGCCAAAAGATCCGACTCATCTCCCAATGCACGGGTTCGGATTTAAAAACCAGAATTGGAAAGAGGACCATAAAACCTATACCACACAATTATTAGATTATTAATTAGTAAGACATCTTCTGAAAAAAAAATAGGGAGACTTAATTAGATCTAGTGCCCAAAGGATTCACTTGGAATACATTTTTAAAGCAGTCCATATAGCTACCATCTTTATAAATCAACACAACGAATTACAAGTAAATTGTAAATAAATGTTTTCAAATACCATTTTATATTCGTACAAAAAACAACCATATTATAAATAAAATTTTTAGAGATTAACTTTTAACTAATTTTTTTTTAGGATTTGCAATCAATAATAAAACTTTAAAATCGATTCCAAATATCTCAAAAATTACAACTAAACCCAAAAAAAAATGTAATTTTCCCCTGAAAATTATTTTTTTAGAATCATTTCTGAAAATTAGATTGATTCTAACTTTTTTCTTTATAGTTTTACTTAAAAAAATTACAAATGATACTTTTTTAAATACCATAATCTTAGCTATTATATGTTCATATTAATAAAACAGAGCCTTGCTTGAATTGTTTAAACTTTTCAATTAAAAAAAGTACAATAATAATTTAAAATTTTTAAATCCGACAATTAGTATTATAATTTAATTTTTTTGTATTTTTAATCATGACAACTCATTTGAACCGAACTAGGAAAATGGGACAAAAAACCGGACACGGAAAACCGGAGTCGGAAGGACAAAAAAGGCAGAAAGACAAGTGGATCCACCAAACCATGCAGGTCGGTTGTGTGGCTGAAGCTGTGCGGCAATAAAATGCTCGTTTGGTCATAACAGTTACATTACGTGTTGGACTTTGGAAACGTCACACACAAAGAAAAGTAAAATGAGCCTACCAAAATATTAGCACCACACGTATTATCAGAAAGCTATAAATACGAGAGAGAGAGAGAGAGAGAGAGAGAGAGAGAGAGACTACCGTACCCATTTTGTTATTGCACTAAAAATTTATAATTTTTTAGAGTCACAATATAATATTTTTTTATATAATGGTTAAAAATATTTAGATTAATATATGCGTATTTCGATAAATTTTTTTTTTTAATATGATCAACAACAGATCATCTACCTTAGGACTAGATTATTCATTAAAAATAAATTTATCATAATATAATTTTAAAAAATTATCAAAATTCGAATTTAAAATATATAAATTTATAACGGCCACAACGTTTTTGAACTGAAATCGGAAAATCGAATAAATAAAAGAGACCCGGAAGGACAAAAGAGGCAAAAAGACAAGTGGATCCTCCAAACTAGACAGGTGAGTTGTGCGGCTGAAGCTGTGCCGCAATAGGTGCACGTTTCATTATACAGTAATATTAAATTTTGAGATTAAATTTAAAATTTAAATCACATGACAGTATATTATTTAGAGTTTTTATTAAGATTCAAATAATATGACAATAAATAAAGATGTCTATGTCAACTATCATATTATTTGAAGTCTAAATTTAATCTCAAAATTTGATTAATATATCATTACTCTTCGTCATAACAGTAACATTACGTGTTGGACTTAGGAAACGTCACACATAAAGAAAAGCAAAATTAGCCTACCAAAATTTTAGAACCACACGAATTATCAAAAAGCTATAGATACGAGAGAGAAGACTAGCGTAACCATTTTCTTATTGTACTAAAATTAATAATTTTTTAGAGTCCCGTTATAATATGTTTTATTTATAATGATTATGGATGTTTAGACTAATTTATGTATATTACGATTAATTTTTTTTTATTTGATCAAAGACAAATAATTCGTACTGAGACTAGAGATAAATCTCTTATAACATGACCTTAAGAGGTTGTTAGGATTTGAATTCAGAATCTAGTTTATAGTTTGTTCTTATTAATAATGCACAAAAGTGAATTTATACAAAAATCAATCAATGTATTAAGTAAGAGGGCTCAACACATGCAAACACAGAGATTAAGTGGATTCGATTTTGGTGACATACTCTATTGGAAATGAGGAAAATGACCAAAAAATCTTATTGCTCAAAGTATAGTGTACTGAAATATGTGTGATGCCCAAAATGCGTAGTTAAGACTTACAATTTATAAGAGAGCATAATGTTCACAGCGCCCCAAAGAAGGCTTGGATAGAGGCACCATCGCAGGGAGCCATAATTAAGGCTGGAAATGGGTGGCTCCATGTTGTTGGCATAACAGATGATGTGGTTAAGGGTTGTAATGCATATCTTGATTCTCTTTCTAATGTGAAGATCTTACATGCGTCACTAGTAGGCTGAGTTTTCCAAGACGATGTGATTGGTCATTGTTGACTTGTATTCTTGATTTAAATTTGATTGCACCTGCGACTTGGGCCAGGTTTATATTCTAAATAGGGCTTCTTTGAGACATAAGGTATATCTATAAAAAATAGGGCTCTTTGGAAGACGGAACACCTAATTAGATTTATTTGACAAAAAATATATAGAACAAAAATGTAAGTTAAAAAGACATAAATGCCCATTTTAGGGTCATTTAATTCAAAATTTTTTATCTTTAATGCACCTTGATTCATGTGTGTTTGTTAATACATAAAAATACGTATTTAATGCACTTTTAATTCATGTATAGTTGTTAATACATGTATATATATATATATATTTGTTGTTAAATCTCTTATTTAAATTTTGAATTATTTTTAATGCACCTTGATTCATGCATATTTTTTTTTAAAAGTGATTTTATTTTTAAATTATATTTAATGCACTTTGATTCAAACGTTTTTTTTTTTTTGAAAAATTGTTTTATTTTTAAATTAATTTAATATCTAAATAATGTAATAATATAACAATAACAGTGTAATAATAACAGTGTAACAAAGACAGTGTAACAAATATACTATAACAAAAACAATGTTCAGTAGTTTTGTGTTTATGGTAACAAATTCAAAACGAAGATGGATTATTTTGAATGAAATTATATGAAAACTATATGTTTGACAAAATGTAATAGTATAATATTTTGTATAAATAGCTTGTTACACTATTATTGTTATACTGTTATATTGTTAGTGTTACACTGTTATTGTTACACTTTTACACTATTCGGATATTAAATTAATTTGAAAATAAAACCACTTTCTAAAAAAAATACATGAATCAAGGTGCATTAAAAGATAATTCAAATTTTAAATAAAAGATTTAATAACAAGTATATACACACATAAATACATAAGTATTTATAATTTACCCTAAAAAATATAATCAATCTTAAAATGTTATGATTGATTATTGATGAGTCAATCCCAAATAGCTCAATTTATGAGGAAAGCCCAATCTCAATTAAAGAGTCCAACCTTATAAAACACCCACCAAACCCAATATAATCCAAGACCAGTCAAACTCTCTACTTGGCTACGTCATCAAGAGGAAGAACATGGGAGCCTTACCTGCACTGCAGAGAAAACAGTCTATCTTCACCTTATCTTTGACCGCGTCTCATGGAGAGCTCCTCAACCTCCTCGCCCGTTGAGAAAAAGTCGTAAACTCCACTAGAATAGTTGTTAAGTTACTGTAAAGTAGTCCCAATCTGTTAGGGGGCCATTATAAATTGCACATTCCACCAACACTTGGGGGGCATCACACTTTTACTTAGACACGACTCTCCCCTCTTGCTCAAAGCTTGTACTCTCTGCTCCCTACTCCCTTGAACTAATAAAGTACCCGACGACCAAAGTCATTCAAAAGTGGACATAGGTCACGATTGACAGAACCACTAAAAATCTTGTCTCCTCTATCTCTCTTTACTTTTAATTACTGCATTTATTACTCACAATTAGGGATGACAGTGGACTGGGAAAAAATGGGTATTCGTCCAAATCCGTCCCGTTTGGACTGGGGATGGACTATACGTATTGAACGGTAGACATATACGGAGATACCCGTATAAATCCGTACGAAGATGGACTTATCCCTACCCCCACCCAGTCCTCGCCCCGCCCCGTCCCCGTTACCCATTAAATATATATATATATATAAACATAATTGTTAACTTAACCTAACGCATCTTCCAGCGTTGCACGCCTCTTCTAGCGTTTCACGCCTCTTCCAGCGTTGCCCGCCTCTCTCCCTATCTCGTCTTCCTCTAACTCTCTAAGCTCAAGCCAACTGCTCCTCTCAATAGCAATGCCGTTGATCGTCATTGTCTGCTGATTGCTGGTTCGCTGGTTCACTGATCGATTGTTCGCTGCTCCTCTTTGTTTGATTCGGTGGTCGTTGTTTTCTTCCCAAAAAGTATAGAGAGATTTCTATTTATGAAAAGGTGTCAGTGGTTGGCACTGAGTGAATTATCAGGAGAAGTCTTTGGCTAATTTTCTACTCTTTTACTACTAGAACGCCTGGTACAGACTACTGCGACGTTTACAAAGGTAACCACACATAGATTCCATTCATTCTGTGATTTCAAAGAATGTTCTAGGGATAAGGTCTGATTTTGACCTGGTATTCTTTTGATGTCTGTACCTAGCTGCTTTTTGATTATTATCCCCAGAAGTTATTAACACTAGTCTAAATGTTGAAATACCATTTCTTTTACGTGCTTCATAGCCTACTTACACTTTTCAATTCCTATATGGATTGTGGTTAAATTCTGCAGTTTATTAGATTTGCAAGTTACTTGGACTTTGAGAGGAGATTGCCATGGTTGTAGATTGTTGTAATCCGCATCCATCACCACGGACACTCTGCAATCTTCTTGATTTAGTAGATTTCTGGTTTTCTGTAGTGTTAATTTAATAGAGTCCAACATGTTGAGCAAAGTGGAGTATGTTACCAAGAAGCCAAGTTTTGAAATAGCAGAAAAATCTTACTTGGTTCTATATGGTCAAATTTCATACCTTTGAAATAGTCTACAACTATTTTTTTTTTTTTTGGGTTCTAGTTTCATGTTTTAGAAGTTCAAGTTCAGTTTGTTTGCATAGATTTTTTTCTATTCAATTTTTGACTTTTTCTTTTGATCATGTATACACCTTATTGCTACACAGAAGATGGATGTAGCATGAAGATCACTAGAATAAAAAGGATGGGAGTTGAGGAGTTCATTCATGATTCAAGTTGCCATCTTGCCAATGTTTACAAATGCATTTCGATACTACAATGGATAGCCAGTGGAATGTAGCATATGATATAGACTAAGCCTATACAGAAATTCATATTTGTGTATGTACCATAAACAAACTATCTTAACTCAAGCACACCACAAAAGATCATAACATATCCAAAACAATTTGACAGCATAAATCACAAAAATAGTCCATACAAGTTACTTTTTCTATGGAGAAGAGTTCCCCGGGGAAATTAAAACCAAAACAAAACATCTCAATAGTCAACAAACAATAGTTCCATTGTTATCCAGATCTAGATAAGGATTAGTTTAATATTTGTCATGTACATTGCTGCAAATCAATGGTGATTGTAGTTTTGGGTTTTTTTTTTTTTATTTCCATGGGTTAGTGTGATTAATGTGGATTTTGTCATATACTCTGTTCAAGTTTTATGGGTGATTATTGATCTACGATTGGACTTTATTTCCATGGGTTGTGATATTTTTGGACTTGAATGTGTTGATTTGTTTTACTAATGAACGATTTTAGAGTGAGAAGAATATAATGTATTGATTTGCTTTTCAACGTTACCATATAATTCACCGATAATGTTGAATTTTTGGAAGTACTTTGAATTCCTTTCATTCCATAAAAACCTCTACTAGGATATTAATTTTTTCATTTTAATGCATTGATGACATAATTTTATTGTATAAATGTTAAGCTAGAGCCTCAAGCACTTGATTAGGGACTCAAATTCATTGTTATTGGTGATAAAAATGAGAAAAGTGGGGCCATTGATGTATGTTACATGATGTCATTGCTTTCTTTGAGGTTTATTGTTTGCTTTGGTTTTCTACTTAGTTGATTTTTGCATATAGTTGATTAAGTAGGAAATGGAAGGAGAAGAAGTGAGAAATAATATGTCAACTCCTCAAACTTCTGCAACACCGGGTGAAAGCAACCAACTTCCAATCTCTATTGATGAAAATCAATCTACAAACTCAACCCCAATGATTCTCGGTGAAACAGATAGACATAGATCAATTGTGTGGAATCATTTCAAGAGGAAAACAATTGGTGGGAAGTTAAAGGCTGAGTGCAATGAATGTAAGAAATTGTTTATTGGTGGTGCTAAGAATGAAACTACCCACTTGCATGACCATCTTCAAAGTTGTCCGAGGAAGAAATATAAAAATTTGAATCAATGTTTATTGGTATCAAACCAATTAAAGACGGATACCGAGAAAACAATGAAAAATTGGCGATTTGTTCAAGAGGCGGGGAGGAGGGATTTTGCCAGTATGATTATATTGCATGAATATCCTCTTAGTATGGTTGAGCATCACGGGTTTCAAAAATATTGTCACACTCTTCAACCAATGTTCAAAATGATATTCCGGAACACTCTTAAAAATGATATCCCTCAAGTTTACAAAATCGAAAAGGAGAAGACAATGAAGTTGTTGGAAAAGATAAAAAGTAGAGTTGCTATCACTACAGACATGTGGTCATCAAACAATCAAAGAAAGGGATATATGACAATCACCACACAAATTTTATTGACAATTCTTGGACATTGGAAAGTCGGATTATAAGGTACTAATAATCTTTCATTAAGATGTGTTATTTATTATAAGGTACTAATGATCTTCTATTAACATATGTTATTTATTATCTTTAGATTTTTGTATGTGTCTTATCCACATACCAAGGAAGTGCTTGTGGAGTGTTTGATGGATTGCTTTTTCAATTAAAACCTTGATAGAAAGTCGATCACTTTGATTGTGGATAATTGTACCACTAATGATGCAAATTGTGACTATTTTGTTGGATAAACTTCCATTTGGTTTACTAATATTGCATGGTCAGTTGTTCCATATGCGTTGTTGTGCACATATTCTCAACTTAATTGTTCAAGATGGTTTAAATGTGATTGGAGATGGTATTGAAAGAATTCGTGATAGTGTTGCTTATTGGATAGCATCTCCCAAGAGAGTGCAAAATTTTGAAAATGTAGCTCATCAGATACATATTTCAAGTAATAAGAAACTTGCTCTTGATGTTAAGACTCGATGAAACTCTACTTTTCTCATGCTTCAAACTAGTTTGATTTATAGAGATGTGTTTGCTCGCTTGAAATATCGAGATTCTCATCACAAGATTTGTCCGACTGAAGATGATTGGGAGGTGGCAAGAGAGATTTGTGAAAAATTGGAATTGTTTCATACTGCAACAAAATTGTTTTCAGGTACAAAATATCCTACTGTCAATGTGTACTTTTCAACTATTTGTGGGATAAGAGTAGAAATATCTAAGTGGCTTCAAAGTCCCAAAGACGTGATAAAAGATATGGCCTTGAATATGTTGGAAAAGTTTAACAAATATTGAAGTGTGATTCATGGTGTTATGGGAGTAGTCACTGTTTTAGATCCATGGTATAAGTTGGGAATTTTGGATTATTATTATGAGAAAATGTATGGAGGTGTGAAAGCTTTAAATGAAGTGAAGAGGATTAAGGAGCTTTGCTTGGAATTGGTAGGCAAATATAAAGCGATGCAAGGAAGTGATTATGTACCACATCATTCTCCTCCCCCTCTTCAATCAGATATTGATTCTAAATGCCAATTAATTGATGATCTCTCTGATTTTGATAAATTTATACAAACAAGAGACATAACAAAAGCACGTGGGAGATCTGAGTTGGACCGTTACTTAAAAGATGATATGATGCAAAAAAGTTCAGATTTTGATATACTATCTTTTTGAAAGACAAGTGGTCCCAAGTATCCTTTGTTTCAAATGATTGCTAAAGATCTTTTTGTTATTCCTGTTTTTACCGTGGCCTCGGAATCTGCTTTTAGCACATTAGAGGCTTTAATGTGCTCTCAAAGTTGGTTATGTGTTGACGAACGAGGTAATGACATATTATTTGTATGTGCATCATAATTTTTTTTTTTTGGGTGGGTAAAGTATGACTAATGCATTATTTTTTTTTTGTTAGGTTCATCTACTTCGACGGCCCTGAAGAGTTACACATTATTGGAGGATCTTGATATTGATGATAAGGTATATCGTTTTAGTTGAAATTTTTCTTTTTGGAAGAACCTAATTTTTTTTTAATGATATAGGAAAATGATGCTGAAGAAGTAGATTCTACCACCACCGATGGAGTCAAGTGAAGATTGAGTTGGTGTGAAGCTGGTGTTAAGAGATTATTCTATCACCCGTTATATTATTTGTGTTATATTGAGTATTTTGGACATTTGTTGTTTGTGTTATGTTTAAAATGTTATGCTACATTATGTTGTTTTAGATTATGTTATATTATTTAGAATGTTGTTGGATTATTTAAAATGTTGGATTTATTTAGAATTTTAGATTATGTTGGCTTAAACGTGGATTTAAGCTTAGGCTTGGGCTTAGGCTTAGGCTTGGGCTTGGGTTTGGACATGGGCTTGGGCAAGGACAGGGGAAGTGGGGACGGGGACAGAGATTATAAATTTACTTGCGGACGGGGATGGAGATAAAAATTATACCCGTTAGCGGTGATGAACTGGAGATGGACAAATGTTTTTTAAGCGGGTACGGGGATGAAAACTATACCTCCTGCCCCCGCTTTGGTCTATTGACATCCTTATTCACACTTGACAGGTGGTATACAAAACTATTTTGTGCATCATCAATTATAAAAATTTTGAAGTCAAGTTGCTCCTTTTAAATATGAAGTTATAATTGATTAGGGATATTCATAATTGATCACAATATTTTATGATTTGATCATGAAATAATTTCAAAATTTCAATTTTAAAAGGTCTAATTTTATCTCAAAAAATAATACCTTTCATTATGGTATCGATTTTTTTTTTCAATACCGTAGGATTACGTTAGAGATAAGAATACAAATCATTTTGAGAGATAACAAACTTGTTTTAATAACATAGAAAAAATAATTCCACAACAAACCAAATTATTTAGGAGTAGTAGGAACAATTTTCACCCATTTGAATCAATAGACACACTAAGAAAAAGAGGGCAAGAGTTCATAACAACTCACACTCATGAAGAATTACAACTATTCTTAAGGAAAATTGTCGGTGGCTATGGTTGAAAAGTCAAATACTTGTATTTGTGTTTATTTTTTCTTATCTATTTCTTATTTTTCATTTGTCTATCTTTC